GTTTTTTTAGTTCCTGTACTGTACTCAATAAAAGCCTCCCTGTAACATCAAGACTAGAATAAATCACCTATGTGATCAGGCCCGGCTCCAGCTTGGAACTTTAGGGTGGGCCAAGTGACATTTTGGGTGGACCAACAAAAATAGACAAATTATATATATATATATATATATATAAACAATGATTTTAAAAGTAATAAAATAATTGATACTATTCTCTGTCATTTTAATAAAGCAAACTAACTTTTATTTTAAAACTAGTATTTGTACTGCAGATTATATTTATGTCAGTGTTTGCTTGCTTAAGTGATGTTTGCCAAGTTTTGCAAGAAAACTCTAGAAAAACATGTTGCTCTCCATGAACTATATAGGTGATTTTGTAATTGCAGGTACATTTAGTGACCAAAGCCATCCTTTTTTCAGCTTTTAAAAAATTGTTACGTTACATTGTTACATTTTTGATTATTTATAAAATGTGTTAATCATTTTCAAAGATCACATTACCAAAAATCACGATTTCTTGATTTACGAAGTAGTCAGTGCATTTTTCCATCATGCAAAAATATTTTATTTTGCTTTTCTTTAAAAAAAATTTCACCAATATTTTAATTTTAAATGTTTAAACTGTAAACTGTCAATGCTATTATTATCACAATTACAAAAGGAAAACTGAATATTTCATTAATCACATTTTACAAATAAAAAATATTTTAATCCTGATTTCAGTATCGTGATCTTTGCAGTTATGGAAAGCAAAAGATTTGGCTAAAAAGTTGTAAAACTGTAAATTACTGTCAATTCAGTTAAAATTTAGTAACTACACATTACGATTTGTCTTGCTATAACTTATTATTATTTCTGAACATTACTAAAATCCTCCATGACAGAGTTGACAAACAATATAAAACTTTTTATTCCCTAAAATTAAAACATTTTATCATTTGTTCAGCAAAAGCTGAATTATAAAAAATAAATATGTTTTAACTGTAGTGTTGGAATTTACAACTTTAAGATGATACCTTTGAAAAAATATCAACATTCCATACCATTTTCTATATTTTGTGATTTAAAAAAAAATCTTAATGTTATTATTAATGCACCAGAGCCAATATGGACATTAGTATTTTTTATAACTAACAAACAAATTTTTGAATAGCAGATTTTCTTTGCATATTAGCCTACTTATTAGTGGTAGATAGATAGCTAATACAGTATCATTTATAGCCTATCAAAAAAAAAAATTCTGAATTTATTTAGCATATAACATGTTTTAATCGACACACACATGGCGTTTCATGTGCTTTAGCAAAGCGCTGTATGTGTGTGTGTCGACCTGCTCCCTGAAACATCTTGAATTATCAATATTTATTCTATTCATTATTGAATTCTGAATTTTTAATATGGTATTGCACTATTGTTGAGCACAACAGTGAACAGTAACAGTTTAAGATATCTTGTGTATGATTTTGACATTTTTTCCTTATCAGTTAAAAGTCGAATAACAGAGAGATCACATATGATAATTTAAGAGATTTAAAGAGAAAAAAAGACAATACGTCAATCGATAGCACGTTACACGGCTTTCGTATTTAATTAATCGAGTCCGTGATATTGAAATGAGTTCAGTTTCTAACCTCTCCAAATATACAGATGAGGTACACACAGCAGCGCGCGTCAAGAGAAGAGCGCGCATTTAGAGAGAGCAAAGCGAAAGCAAGATTATGTGTGGATATGTGTCGAAATATTGATGTTTTTGACACAAACTGCATCAAAGTGCTTTGCACTGGTGTTTGAATTGTGTACGTTGCACTTTGCACGAACTTTACTACTGAATCTGCCAGTGATCTGTCCGTTTCTGTGCGTCATTAACAGATTGATTAATATTTGCTCTTTCCGTGAGAAAAATGCTATAATGATTAAGCAGGCCCAATACATCTCCCGATTATCCCACAGTGTTGTTTAACTGTTTGTGTTCTTTAAGACTTTCTATTGTATGAATTACGACTGCATGGACTGATATTAAAGGGAGGTGCATTTGGTAATGCGCGTTCAGACGCGTGATGCGCACAGAAATCTGCGCTCTATGCTGAATTAGTTTCTCTTTCATCTTTTGCAGACTGAATTTTTTTTTAATTAATAAAACAGAATACTTTAATCAAGATTGTAAATGAGTCTGGCTTGTCAAAACGTGTTTTTTGAAGCTCACGCGGTCACAATTCTTTAATTGATCAACTATACTGATGCACAGATTAAACAAATAACCCTTTATTCTCATTTATTAAGATTACATGTATCAGTATAATTGGCAACAGTCAATTGACAGCAGATTCTACATCTGCACAAATACATCACTCACTCAGATGTCTGTTTAGTCTTGTGATCTGCAATACTTAATATTTTTCTGTCAGACATTTGATAATTATCTCTTTTACTTTTGAAACGTTACTTTATATGTGCTGACTGGAGAACGTAACATTACATAATCAACGTTTACAGCAAAATAAAATAGGCTATAATTTAAAGCCTCTTTACACCCTTAGCAATTCTACAGTGCACTGTACAGTAGCTCAACAAATACGAGTTTAACACAAGGAATTGTCTTTGGTTTAATACTCACATTTCAAACTGACCGCGTCCTTCCTCCTTCAGGCCGTATGCTGCGGCTTCCTGGAGTAGAAAGGCATCCACTTGGTGTACTTTTTATGGTTACTAAAGTTTTAAATGTGCTCCTTTTATTAAGGCATGTTTGCTCCTACTATGAAATAATTAAGCAGGTATTTTTGAACGCAAATCAGGTATAGATGCGGCGAATCTCGCAAAAGGGGTTTCGGTTTCGAAGTTCAGCCTCCGCAGTGCTAGAGCGGTGACGTCACGCCCCATCCCCTATTGGCTGAATTTCTCTGAGAGCCCACGTTTTGGTTGGCAGATACACAAGTCACTTTTGCACCAAATGTCACAGTGATGTTTGGTGCAGAG